TCTGTTTCACACTGATACTGACCCACTGCACACTCCTCCCAGTCTGTCTCACACTGATACTGACCCACTGCACACTCCTCCCAGTCTGTTTCACTGTAACATTGATTTGATGCACACTTATTCGGTTGTGCAACTTTAGCAAAGGTATCAAAGGTGATGAAGGATAGATGGGAATGTGAAATTCTGAACACAACCAGATCAGCCACAAACATATTGAATGGCAGAGCAGACCCAAAATGTTGAGTCGTCTGCTTCTGCTCCTACATTGTATGTTCATATGTAGCTCATCCCTGAAATTCATCACTGCTTCTCAGCCTACTCCAGTTTGCCTCTTGTTTTTCATTCATCAACTAACCTTCTACGTGTGTTGCTACATTTCCTCCCAAAGTGTAACAAAATCAAGAGCGTTCTCCAGGTCAATCAACAAAGGCAACCAGTCACTTGCAGCCTGCAGTGGAAAATCTTCATGGTGCGACCCAAATTTTTAAATGAACAGCACGGACAAAGGTTCTAACTGATGGGCAAGTCACTTAGTTTCATGTGCATATTATATTAATGGGCCCGTCAAAAGCTTCCAAACACATGACAATTACTTACATAATGTGTGTTCTTCATCGAGTAGGAGAGGTGTTTGGTTTGGATGAGTCGCTGGGAAAACAATCCAGTTCGATGAGTTAAGATCTTGATGGTTCTTTGTAATTGTACGATCTGTCTGTGAGTGTCTGACATGGTCCAAACGAGTGTTCCTTTGCCCCTCCAGCACACATGGAATTCCCAATTGGGGGCACATCTTAACGAAGTGCACTGATGTAGGTAGCACACAAGTCTATCTTTTTTACTCATTCATGGGATGAGGGTTTCATTGGCTGGGCCAGCATTTACTGTGCAGAAGGCAGTCAAGAGTCAACCACATTGCTGTGGGTCTGGAGTCATATGTAGGCCAGACCAGGTAAGGATGGCAGATTCCTTCCCGAAAGCACTTTAGTGAACCAGATGGGGTTTTTCAATAATTGGTAATCGTCATCATTAAACTCTTAATGCTATTGAATTCAACTTCCACCATCTGCCATGGTGGGATTCAGACCCAGGTCCCCAGAACATTAGCTGGGTCCCTGGATTAATAGTCCAGTGATAATACCACTAAGCCATCACCTCTCCTGATAGAAAAGTCCCTGAATATTTTCATTGCTACCAGTGAAGAACGTTAGTGCCAGATGACACATTCTGATAGTAACCCTGTGCCTTCTCTTTTAGGCTTCTTTGTCGCCACTCCATGTACAAAAGAGAGATCTGTGACCTGTCAACCATGCGGGGAAGGTGAATACCTGGACCACAGTAATTCTCAAACAGAATGTTTAAAACAGATCGAGTGTGATAAAAGTTAGTATCCTTTGATCAAACACTATGATTGATACAGCCAAACCAAAAGTAGTTAAGAATTCGAAAGGTTTGAAAATAATCACTGTCGTCAATCATTACTTCTTTGAAGATACTTAGGAACTGACACAGAACTGAGGAGAGGGAGTGAATATGTACAAATGTATTCAAATGTCATACACGGTATATCCCTGAACTTGAGATCATCCCAAACTCAGCTGCATATTTCACACTCAGGGCATGGGACAGATATTAAGACCCAGAGGGAATGCTGTGCTGGGGTCTGGGATGAGGTGGCACTGCTCAAACTGGGGGTGGTGTCGCTGTTCTTGCAATGGTTGTTTTGTCAAATAAAAGATGCAGGCTCCTCAATCCAGTTTCTAGACCAGTGGTTTTTAGTGCACGATATAATCGGGACAGAGCCTTCCCAGGTTCTGAACAATGTGCGCTATGGCAAGAGACTTGGGGCAGTTGCCTCAGAAGTCCAGCGAGTCCTTTCTCAATTCGGGAGCAACAAGTCACATTTTCCAACTGAGCTGTGGACTCCATCCAATGAGCGGCAACAGGCCCATTAACGGGAATTATAACGGGGACTATTGCTCATTGTCTCCCTCAATATTACTGCATTAAAATGCAGGTTCCCAATCTAGCTTCTCCACACCAACATCTTCGATCCACTTGCTACACACTTCCACAGTTTAATGCCACTGTTTAGAGCATAGCAGCACCTGGCATTGCAAGGCAGCTGCAAAGGAAACTGTGTGCTCAGGGACAGGACTGGACCAGGCTGCATCTCACTGTTCTTGCTGTCTCAGTGCTCACTCACTGAGCGTGCTCCTGGATGCTCGCCGCATCCCTACTTCACCTTTTTGCACTTTGCCCCCTCAGCTTGAGCTAAAGGCACAGCCTCCTCCTGTCCTGCTGTGTGTTTTTGTGCAGACAGGCGTGGGTTGTTAGCAGTCATCAGTCAAACGGGGTGGACATGTGACTGTATGGCACCATGCAATATCAATCTCACACTGGCACTGTGTGCCAGCAATGGACTTGGCAAATACATGGCATGTACTTCAACCAGATGGCCAAGCCTCAAAGTCATGGAGTTCCAACCTGTTAAGTCAAGGGCAGCTTCAGTTCAGGGTCTTGGGCACAGCAATTATGTCAAAATTCTCTGCTCATAGGAGGTGAGGAACTGAATGCCAGGTACTCTTTGCCTCTTCCTGTCCTACCGTGGGCTATTTTCTCCTGGCGTGAGAGAAAGGGAGGCTTTGAGTGAGATGAAAGCGGGCGGCACAGCTGTTAGTGCTGGAGCAGGTGGTGAGATTTCCTGAGTGAGTAGGCAGTGCAGATGGTCAGCAGTGTTTGTGGGGTGAGGGAACTGGAAGCGTAGGAGTCAGTGAGGGATGATGCTTCATGCAACACTGACAGCAGTAGAGCACGAAGCATATTAAGAGGTGTCCCAGATAAACTTAGTGAGAGTTGGTAGCAGTGAGAAGCTGGTGGTACTTACCCTGGCAGAGTGGAGAAGGTCATTGACCTTCGTCCTGCACTGCTGGTCATTGTTCTAGAGGGCTGGGATCGCACTGATAATGGAGCAAGCTGGCAGGCTCTGGTGGTGTGAACTCTGCTGCTGGTCCTGAGGGAAGAGAACATCTCACCTCCGCACCAGAGCATCCCATTTCCTGCCTACAAAGCAAGGTGCGAATTTCCCCCTTGTCTGCTATGTCCAGAGCAAATGTCATAATCCACACAGGGCAGCTCTGGACTGACTGCACTGCATATGATGGTCTTTTAAAGATGGCACTGGTGCCGTGGATCCAGGCAGTGACAAGATCTTCTGTTTGTGATGAGTGAGAGAATCAGGTAAGCATTAGACAAGAGGAGACCCATCGCATCATGGTAGGCACTTAAGGAGACAAGTTTGTGATGATAGCACGAGAAAGCTTGCTAAGCCTCAGGAAGCAAAGCCCTCCATCAAACTCCATGAAAGTGAAACTTTGCCAAAATATGGTAAGATGCAGCCCAATGAAAATGGCTTGAGAGAAGAAATAATGGAAAAGTAAGACATCCCTCTTAAAATGCTGCCAAGTATCACAATGTTGTTCTGTCCCGAAGCTTGGCATGTAGAGCAGAAGGTGCAGTTTTTAGCAATATTGAAACCAGTAGGCCATTCAACCCTTTGAGCCTGCTCCACCATTCAATATGATCATGGCTGATCATCCAATTGAGGCCCCATTCCCATTTTCTACCCATATCCTTTGATCACTTTAGCCGTACGATCTATGTCTAAATCGTTCTTGAAATCATTCAATGTTTTGGCCTCAACTCACTCTTTAGGTCAAGAAATTTCTCCATATCCTAAGTCCTAAATGCTCTATCCTGTTTCCTTAGACTGTGGACCCTGGTTCTGGACTCTCCAATCACTGGAAATATCCTTCTAAAAAAATTCTTCTCCAAACTCTTCTCCATACTGCAAATTTAATTTGATTCAACTCGGAATCTGCGCAAGGCTGTTGCAGTAATATCTTGGCAATAAGAAACTTGAATTTTTCATGAAAACTCTCAATTTAAAAACAAAATCTCTTGAAAATTGAGTGAATTCTTATAATCTGCAGTATTAATGCATTGAAGATTTCATATTCTTCAAACAAATACATTCTCGATTCTGATGCTTGCTCTCTGGTTTGAGTGGATGACAGGGGGAAATTTAAGCGCCACATGGACAGGTGGGTTTGGGTAAGAGGGTAAATTAGAAGATGCAGAAGTCTCTAATCTGACCAGTTTACATCGGACGCGACATTTATGATTTTAATGAGTGACAAGGTTGACTGACCGATCCATTTTCAGGATGCAAGTTGCCATTTGTCACAAATTAATGAGGGGATTCCAGCTGGATGTTATCATTTATCACTGAAATGTAACATTTTTTTTCTTAATTCTTTCATGGGATGTGGGCATCGCTGTCAAGATCAGCATTTATTGCCCATCCCTTATTGCCCTTGATCTGAGTTGCTCACGAGACCATTGCAAAAGCTAGTTCAGTGTCAACACATTGTTTGGAGTCACATGCAAGTCAGACCAAGTGAGGATGACAGATTTCTCTCCCTAAAGGACATTAGTGATCCTGATGGGTTTTTATGACAATTGGTAGTTTTGTCGCAACTATGGTCAATATAAGTTTTATATTGCAAACTCTTATTAATTGAATTTAAATTCTACCACTTCAAACCATGTCCCCAGACTCCCTCTGGATTAATTCTCACTCCAGGTTCCTAGTCCAGTGACATAACCAGAAAAGCTCCATTTCTCCCTGCATATGTCGGTTGCGAGTGGTCATTAGTTATGATCGAGTCTGAAACTGTCTTTTTCCTTTCTAGTGAAAGGATTTGAAATTCTGCATAAAGGAGATTCAGTGACTGCCACACAGTGTATATGTAAAGCCAATTTTCACTGCTCCCAGGATTGCGAATACTGCCTCAGAGATAGTCCGTGCTTCCCTGGTTTTGAAGTGGAGAAGAAAGGTGAGCAAGTGTTACACTGGAACGCTGTGGACTTGAGGCAAACATTAAATTCCACAGAAATTTTGTAAATCTACAGTTTTTATATAAATTGAAAGTGGAAGCAGTTTATTTTAGGAGTTGACTGTTTCTTTTACAGTTGAATGTTCTGGTGCGAACATCCGGTACATTCATGCTTCACCACATGATCAGCTCATAAACCTGGCCAATTTGTCTGACATGGTTCCAAGGAGATGAGAGATTACAAGCTGGCTGGAGAATAGATTTATGATTAGAAAGTCCATTGCGTATTCATCTCAGCATGTCTTTGGAGGATCTCGGGAGGATATAACATAATAGTAATGAGTTCTGGGCAGATTTCAGATCAAGGTTAACCTCCAGCTGGTAATGTAGGCACTGTATAATTAATAGATAAAGATAAAGTCACCATATTATTAGCAGACCATAGGGCGACTCTCTCATTAGAGAGAGACAATGGTGATGGTTTAACCTCAGGCGACGGGAAAGGTTGAGAAGGACAGCCCTTCATGGTAATCTCAGCTAGTGTGGGAATTGTACCCATACCGAAGGTGTCACTGCATCACAAATCATCCATCCAGCCAACCCAGCTAAGTAAGCCCCCTGCTATAATTAATAGTAACCAAATAATAACAAAAGTAGAGGATGTTTTCTCAATGTGTTAAACAGATTTTATGACCGATCAATCAATCAACCCCTTTCTCTCATATATGTTGCTCGCAGTTTTTAATCACCAGAACTCTTAAATTGGAAAAGTAGGAGGCACAAGTTTTTGTACATCTCATCCTCTCTGATCTCTGGTATTAAATAGCATTGCCCCTACTTACATGACCCAATTGAACTTTGTGACTGATGTGGACCTGTACACAGACTGAGAAGGTTCCCAATCATGCAATCTAAAACCCCTAATTAACTGGTACAATACAATTTCCCAGATTAATTTCTTTCCTGGCCAGCGGGCTTCAATTGCAAAATAGCATTTTGGAATTTGAAATACATCAGGAGACTATTTCATCCATAGAGAAATTGTAAATATGGGATATCTAACAGGTGCTTGATTTGTTGCTTTTAAATCATGTCAATTGGCAATTTGCAGCATTTTGACTGCCCTTCATATGGAAATGAAACACATTACAATCTGGTCACTCCTTTGAATTGAGGAGAAACAAAGGACTGCATTGATCTCATTAAGGATGTGGGAATTTAGCCCCTAGCCTGATCTCCTATTCAGTGAAATCATGGCTACTCTGTGACCCCACTTCAAATTTGTTACTTATCCCTTAATAAATTTGGTTCATAAAGATCTCTAAGTAATGGTGGCATTTCTTTTTCAAGGAATATGAGTATCACTGGCAAGACCAGCATTTGTTACTTATCCCTCATTAATGTGCTTTCTATTGTCATCTGCAGATGAGAGTGCTAAATTTCTACTGCCCTTTGCTAATTTCCTAATTTCACTTCTGAAAGGTCTGGTCATAATTTATTGTCTCTTCCCTGCCCATTTCTAATCACCCTAACTAGCAGAAGTAATTTCTCACAGTCCTCCATATCTATTCCACATCAGAGTACATCAATATTTGCATGAACAATTTAAAATAAGGCAATTTTCAATTCACAAAGCTATACGTGGATAAAATAAATTATTGCTAGCTTGTAGCTTGCACATCCCCAACCCTGATATTTTGAAGGTTGAGTATTACTAAACTGGGTTGTCAGTTTGAATTTCTCTTCCTGATTCCCGTCCCAGTGACCCTGACATGAAGGTGAATATGCCAGGACATAAAAATCCACTGGCAAGGTACATCCATTAAATGATTGTTAAAGTCAGCAATCTGGCAGTTCAAGTTGCCAAGGAACAAGCAGAGTGCAGTGGACCTAAGAATGCTTTGAATCCACTCTGGCATGAAAAACAAAAGAATTGATTTTGATTAAGACATGATTGTACAAGATTCATTTTAATTGAATGACAATGGTTTTCTGTAATTAAATGCTGTAGATATTATCCTTTCAGAAACGATGAATAGTATCCATCCGATAAACTAGAAATTACTCTTGACAGTAACAGAGGATCAGCACCTAATACAATTCAATTAACATTTCTCTGCCCACTACTTTATTACTGGGACTGTTAACCTTTAAAAGAAGGGCATTGTAGTCTGCGAAACTTGAGGCAAAAATCCTGTCACTCATAAAATGCAAATTGTTCACATGCTATTATCTGCCTTTAATGGTAAGTCTAATGTAATTAAAAATGGGGAGTTGACCAAGATGTAGTGTGATTGTGTAAAAGAATCAATCACAAGTTGGCATCCAGTTTCACAGCTCTTTTACTGAGGATTGTGAAAGATTCTGTACCTGAGGGAGAATTATAATGGCAAGGGACAACAGAGGCTCATTACATTGATCCTTGGGATGAAAGGGTTGTCCCATGAGGAGACCAAACAGCTCCCATTCCTGGATGGGATGGTAGAACGCAGGGCCAACAGGGAATTTCTGACCAAAGTATACAGAAAGGCCACATACATGGATCAAGTCCTAAATTTCAACAATATACACCCCAACACCCGCAAGCAGAGTTGTGTAAAAACACTGTTCGAATGAGCCGCAACACACTGCGGCAACCCAAAACTACACCAAAATGAAGAAGAATAGCTCCACCAAATATTTAGAGACAACGGATACCTGACCGGCTGGGTCCGACAATGCCTGTCACACAAACAACAACAGGAAGATACAGTACGCCCTGACACACTTGTCACATTACTGTACATCAAATGGCCACTAGGCATCAGAGTAGCACACAAACCTACATCAACCCTATTTCAACTGCTAACAAGAACCAAAGACCCCTTACCCACTGTGGACAGAACCAACGTAATATACAAGATTCCATGCAAGGACTGCAACAAACATTACATTGGATAGACAGGAAGGAAACTGGCTACGAGAATACATGAACACCAACTAGCAACAAAAGGACACGATCAATACTCACTTGTCTCCATGCACCCAGACAAGGAGGGCCACCAGTTCAATGGGGACAATGTCAGGATCCTAGGACAGGCCAAACAGAGACAAGCACTGGAATTTCTAGAGGCCTGGTTCTCCACCAAGAAGGCCATCAATTAACACATAGAATTGGACCCTATATACGCACTACTGCAAAGAAAAACTGGAAATGAGGTAGCCAACTCCTACTGACCCCAGAGTTTAAATAATAAGCAGGAAAATACAACAACGTTTCATCGGAGGCTGCACTGATGATGTTACCCAACAGGATAATGAAATGTCTACAAACTAACAAACAAGCTCAGTGAGCAAACCAACCACAGAGCTGTATATTCCCTGGAGGTTAGAAGAATGTGAGGTGTTCTTAATGAAACATTAGATTTTGAAAGGAATGGAAGATGCTGTTTCCTTGGCTAGACAGTCTAGAACTAGGAGGTGACTAGGGGGGACTCTAGACATGAGGAATTGACTTTTTCAGAGGAAGGTAAGGAGAAATTTTATCTCTGATGATTGGAATTTTCTACCCCTGACAGCTGTGAACGTTCAGTTACTGAGTCAAGGCTGAGGTCGATAGATTTTCATTTATGAAGGGAATTGAGGGACATGGTGATTGGATGGTAAAACCATGATAGAATTGAGGGGCAGAGCAGGCTGAAAGGGCCAAATGGCCTCCTCCTACTCCTTATTCTTGTTGATATTGAACTTATTTCCAAATTGGAAAGCATGTTAACTATTACCTGTTTGACAATATACACAACATTAAGATCTACCCACAAATATCTCAGGCTTAACGTGCTCAGCTGTTTTTCCATTAGCTGTACTTTTCAATTACTAGGGGTCATGATTTCAAGGTGAGAGGGGAAAAGTTTAAGGGAGATATGCGTGGAAAGTTCTTTATGCAGAGGGTGGTGGGTGCCTGGAATGTGTTGCCAGCGGAGGTGGTAGAGGCGGGCACAATAGCGTCATTTAAGATGTATCTAGACGGATACATGAATGGGCAGGGAGCAGAGGAATACAGATCCTTGGAAAATAGGTGACAGGTTTAGATAGAGGATGTGGATTGGTGCAGGCTTGGAGGGCCGAAGGGCCTGTTCCTGTGCTGTAATTTTCTTTGTTCTTTGTTCTTTTCGAACATTTGAGCAGTATGGGACACTGCAGCGGCTCAGTGGTTAGCACTGCTGCCTCTCAGAGTCAAGGACCTGGGGTCAATTCCAACCTCGGGCAACTGTCTGTGTGGAGTTTACACATTCTCCCCCTGCCTATCCTCCCACTCAGAAGATGTGCAGGTTAGGTGGATTTGCCATGTTAAATTATCCATAGTATCCAGGGATATGCAGGCTAGGTAGATTAGCCATGGGGAAGGCATGGTTACAGGGATAGGGTGGGGGGGCAGGGTCTAGGTGGGATGTTGTATGGAGGATTGATGGACTGAAAGACCTGCTTCCACACAGCAGGGATTCTACGAATAGGAGGCATTCTGAAACTGTCAGCCCATGCCTCAGTAGGGTTTCTTTGAGTACAGTGGTTACATTACTGATCATGAAACTACCAGCTTGAAATAAAAACCCATCTGGGTTACTAATATCCTTTAGGGTAGGAAATCTTCATCCTAACCCATTCTGGCCTGTATGTATCTTGGGAGTTGACTTTTAATTGCCCTCTGAAATTGGCTAGTAAGTGGTGGTTGCCCAAATGTAGCGAATAAGTGACATTTTCTTCATTTTCTTTGCCATGGACATTTTCTTCAAAAATTTTGCATGCATTCCATTTTCTAATCATTATAATGTTTTTTCATAGCAAACCGGATGTCTGATACTAAATGCAGGCCATGTCCTCCAATGTACTTTTCAACTGAGACCTCATTTACCCTGCAGTGTGAATTGAGGACCAAGTAAGTCTACCACTCATGATAAGAATCATAATGTTACAACGTGATAATTTAAGAGTTGAATGGATTTTGTTTTATTGTTCTTTAATATCTGTTGCAAAGAATTTTACAGACAGAGAAACAGGCCATTCAGCCCAGCTGGTCCATGCTGGTATTTAAGTTCCACACCCACCTAGTCCCACTTCATTTTCATCCAACTCCATCAACAAACAACTATGTTGAGAGGTACTTTCATAAAACTTGATTATGTCATAGTAGCTTCCTCACAGTATCATGGCAACATTCACTTGTGTTCGACTTGTTTTCACATTATAAAAGGTATCTTTCAAATGACTTGATACCAGTTTATGAGCCTAAATCTTCACAACTTGAGCAAACAATTTTCAAGGAACATTTTGACCTTTGGTCTACCCCACCTCTAGGTAATGGGCTGTCGGACTTCAAATTAATTTTGTCAGTGCACCACGCAAAACAAATTTGTTTTGAGCCTAAAATGAATGCAGCCAGAAGCCTAAGATTGACTCAGTATTCAACCAGCACTGATTGCAGCTTCTTATCCATCCATGAGGTTAAAATAGGACCACCAGCTCAGAGAGTGGAATAGCCCATCTGTTTTGGGCATGTTGAGAGATTGATTTGGGCAAACCCCATTTATAAAGGTAACATTTCAAGGGCTACAGTTTCTGCTTCTTTACACAGTTTTCTCAAAAAAACCAGTGTAAAAGATCATGGAATTCATCATGCTTTTGCAGTCTCTAAAAACCATTGACTAGAAGCTTATTCCACTCACAAAACAGGCCACATCCATTAGATGTTTTCAGTAAATGTGTTCATTTTCTGGCCTTTAAGAAGGTTTTTAAAAAATCACGGATGCTGCTGGACCTGCTGAGCTTTTCCAGCAATTTCTGTCTCGGTTTGAAGAATCAAACTGGATCTTGTGCATAACGCCACTAATGGGCACATTTTGAAAGCTTTGTACTGGCTCAAGGATTACTGCACCCAATATAATTAGCAAACATTTCCCTACATTCTGATTTTGTTGTTTCAGTTATTTAAAATCAGGTAATTTATAAATGATGGACATTTTTATTAAAATGATTATTTTTCATGATAAAACCATTTTAACTGAATTGATCAAATGCACCAAATTAGTGTTCTTAAGCACATGAACAATTATTTTCTAACATTAGGTTTTGAAATGCTGCTCGATTGCTTTGCTCCATTACAGATTCATTGATATGCAAATATGTCTGAGTGAACACTTGAAGGAAACATATGGTTCTGAAAATTTGTGCACTTTTGAATCCAGCTTGCACCTAGCTGTTGTGTCCAGACCAGAAGCTCTACTCTGCATTGAGTCAGTCAACAGAGATAGCAAACAAGCCTGTAACAATATGGGGAACATGCCCTTGTTCTTTCTTCTGCACCTATTATTATCGGGTCTGCCAGCAAAAATCATTCCTGCCACTGCTACATTACACTAAGGCTTTAAGGGTCTTTTATACAAAAGCTTGTGTTCTCTCCATGCATGGACAAACCTCCTTCCACAGCCTATTGGGAATATGTGCCATGTTTGCTCATTTGCTAATGTTCAAACATATTATCAATAAAGTCATATCACATCTAATATGAGACACAAGCATAGTACCCTACAGTGTTGAAGCTGGCCATTTGGCCCATTGCACCAACCCTTTGAAGGGCAACATCTCACCCAATCCCCATAATCCTGCATTTCCCACAGCTAATCCACCTAACCAGTACATCTTTGGATTGTAGGAGGAAAGCCCACACAGACACAGAGAGAACATGCAAACTCCACACAGACAGATGCCTGAGGCTGGAATTGAACCCAGATCTTTGGCCTTGTGAGGCAGCAGTGCTAGCCACTAAGCCACCAAGCCACCATGCCACCCAAGGGACTCATGCAGTGCAGTGGTAGCATCCCTACCGCTGAGCGAAGGGGCCTGTGTTCAAGTCCCATCTGCAGTCTATAATATCTCTGAGCAGGTTGATATCGAAAATATCTTAAAACGGTTTCTTAAATTTGGCCTTGCACCTCTTACCATAATGTAATTCACAGTCAGATTCCAGACCTTTGGATTTCCCAAATGATTAGCTCTCTGCACATCTGCAACAACTTTGCATCAAGAAAATTGCTGGTATAACGACTTTGCTATTGTACTGTCCCTGGCTAGGCTATCACTTATTGTCCATTGCTAACCACTCTTGAGGGTCATGGTAAGCTGCCTTCTTGAATCACTGTAATTGTCGGGGGCAGGGATACCCACTGTGTTGTCATTGTGCCCACACCTCAAGCACTGCAGTGGTTCAACTGGTCTCCGCGCATCCTGTACATCACCACTAGTGGGAGTCACCCTCTCTCCATCAATTAATGGACTTGTGCTGCTGGATCAAGGGATTCTGAGAGCTGTCTTGTGGCATGATAGATTTCCTTGGGGCAACCTTTACACAGTGTGTGCTGCTGGAGGGGTTTGCTGTGTGGAACCTCTGCTGTATCTGTGAATCTGTTGCAATTTTTCTTTCTACAATCCGTGCATCTGTCTGCCCACTTCCTCTGTGGATCACCACACCTCCTGAGTATGCAGAAGGCACAGAGGCCAAGAGTTCCACATTTTGCCCTATTTGATTTAAAGCCTGCATGTACAACTTTAGTGCTATATCTTCCATCCAGGATTAGGTTTACTCAAGAAGTAGAAAAGAATACAATGATAAGGTTTTATACAAATGTAAATGTTATCAATAGTTAGTTGTTTGACCTGTAACATTGTGTACAACAACCATTTGGGGCAGTTGTATAAATGTGAAAAGTTTGTCTGTCACCATACTGAAAAAAAAATCAGGATACAATGCATGTTGCAGGCATGGACTTACTGCAAAATAGTTGTGATAATTAAGCATCTGCAATCTTTGCAGACACATTTGAATCTGAGACGCTGTAAGCTATCTGTGGACTAGCCAAACACAAATTTCAAGCCATATTTCCCTACCTTGCAACAGTGACCACTCCTCGGAGGAACATCATTGGCTATGAAGCACTTTGGGATGCCTTGAGGACATCAAAACTTCAATATAAATGCAAGCTGCTTTTCCTTTTTCTGCATTTGCACTTTGTGTAAAGTGGAAATTTCAACTATATGACTCTTGGTATTACTGTTCTCTAATCCCTATTCCAGTTTCCCAACCACACAGAAGAGTGCTTTCCTCTTTCCAAATTCCTAGCATTGAGATGTGGTGTTTGCTTGACAGGATATGTTGTGTGTGTAATAACATGTATATTGCCATTGTAATATTTTGAGTAATAATGACAGTTGCTATACCTGATTTTATTGATAAATATCCTGGGCAATTTAATCTTCAAGATCAGAAATCACGTGACACTAGGTATAGTCTGACAGATTTATTTGAAATCACAAGCTTTCAGAGCACTGCTGCTTTGTCAGGTGGAAAGATGAAGTAGCAGCGCTCCAAAAGCTTGTGATTTCAAATAAACCTGTTGGACTATAACCTGGTGTCATGTGACTTATGACCTTGTCCACCCCAGTCCAACAATGGCACCTCCGCATCAATTTAATCCTCAATCAACATCACTAAAATAAATGCTCTTGGCATTATCTCATAACTGTTTGGGGGAGCTTCCTGTGTGGAAATTGGCTGCCATGTTTTCTACATTGCCACAGACACTGTGGGTGGGGCCTGAATGACATGGGCTGTGCTGAGATTTGTGGTAGAATCTTTCGCAAAGTCCAGCAAGCTGATCATGACATCAGGAGCCACCCACTGCATTTTTTACACATGTGTAAGCAGCAAATTCTTGCTAGGCAGTGGTGAATTATTGTTTAAGGAGGTTTGTAGCTTGCCAAGTGCCTCATTTATGCCACAATTCACCTCATTAACATTCAGCTTCCAAACTTACCAAACATGCTGAACAGGCTGGACATCGTAAATTCTCCATGTGGAAGCCAGAGTGGGAACCTGGTGTGCTCAGTTTGCTCTAAAGGAACTCTAAGTTGCTCACTGGCACCAACATTCTCGAGCATGAGACCTGCCACCTGCCCCCCACATCTGCGGATATTAACATCTGCCATGTGGCAGCCTCCAAGAACCCTCATGGCACATCTCTGATCCATTTACAGGACACCTCTACATTTTACTGCTGCATCTTGGAGTGCAGCAGTAATTCCCATTGTAATGCTAAAGCAAGGACACTGTGCAGTCAGGGACATGCTCCCAGCTCGTGGACTAGATCACATGCATTTCCAGCCTATTTCCTTGTTCTCTTAGCACTCAGTCACTATGGGTGTACCTGACCCTTCCTGGATGGTGGCAGCATATCCCTGCCTTGCATTACCTTTTGCACTATTCCGCCTCAGCTAGCAATACCTGCTTCATGATACAGCAGTATTGCCAAGTCTTTTAGCGCAACCACAATGCCCGGGAACCATGTTATGGTTGTTGGCAGTCTTCAATCAAGTTGAGGGAGATAGACTTTGGTCAAGGGTGGGTCAAGGGCACCCTTCAATACCAGTCCAGGAGCTTGGACATAGTCAGTCAGCTGCTCGGAGCGATCAGTCAGGATACTGTCCACTTAGGGGTGAGGAACCAAAAGTCAGATAACCCACCACCAATTGTAACTCTCTCTGCTGTACTGGGGGCTGTTTTCCTCCTAGAATGAGAGAGAGGTAGGTATTGAGGGAAATGACAGTGGGTGACACAGCAGTTACTGTTTGTGCAGGCAGGGAGGTGTCCTGAGGGAGTAAGAAAGCAACACTAGGGAGCATGCAGGGTTCGTGGTGTTGGGGATAGGGTGGTGATAGCAAGTGAGGGAAGATATTGTAATCAGTAGTGACAGTAGCAGAGGAGGAGCCTTGGAGAACATTGTGTGCAGTAGCAGAGAAAGAGTGAGTGTGAGGTATCAGAGGGAGGATGGTGGGACTCGTGCTGGTGGAGTGGAGAAGGTCATTGACCTTCCTACAGGGTTGTGCATTCCTCCAGATGCCTGAGACTGCACTGACGTGGGGTTGGGGGGAGCGGGGTAACCCCAGATCAGGCTGTTGGCGTGGTCTTCACTGCTGGTCCTGGGGGAAGAGAACATCCCACATCTGCATACCCCATCCTGTAGATCCTCCAGGATCCTCCCTACAAATTGGGGTAAAGATCTCCTTCTGTCTGCAATGTCTGGGGGAAATGTCAGGAACCGTGCAGAATAACTGACAGTGTTTATCCAGGCACACAACAGACATATAAAAATCCAATGAATTCCATATATTCCAGCAGTGGTGAATTGCCCTGGGAATGGCATGCGGAATTGGACGGGAGGGACACCATAGGGATGGGGGCAGTAGTTGATAAGGCGAGTTTGGTAAAATACAGCGACAATTCTCATGAGATCTCAAGGCCTCCAAAAAACTCAATACATTTGGCATTTAGCCAATAAAAATGTAAAGTACAGCCCTGCATTTCAAAAAATATTTAATTGTCTGTAAATTGTTTCGGACATCCTGAGGGTGTGGAAAGTATTTATTATATTTAACTTTGCTTCTAATATTTTTATTGTATTTTATTTTCTATAGTTGCACAGCCCTTGGGATGGAGGAAAAGGTTCCTGGTAATGCAACTTCTGATGCATTATGCATTAGTGTTTCAACGCCATCCAGTTCAGGTATAGTGGCTGTAAAATTTATCAGGCACAATTAAGTACCATTTGGAGTTCTGCAGTATAATATAAATCTTGAGCTTTCAGTAATATCATTTCTGTTTTATCCATTTTCTTTCATGGGATATGAGCATTACTGGCAAATATAGACCATAAGATATAGGAATAGAGTTGGGCCATTTGGCCCATTGAGTCTGCTCTATCATTTGATCATGACTGATGTGTTTCTCAATCCCATCCTCCTTCCTTCTCCCCCTACCAATCAAGAACCTATCTATCTTGGTCTTAGACATTTTATTCTATAAATGGGTGCTAGGTTGTGACTAACACATTATCCATCCGTTTCTCCACATCTCCCCCACCCACTCCCCTGGCACAGTTACCTGCTGGCATGTATTCTCACCCTATCACAGGCCTTGACATTAGCAAACTGGGGTCTAAAATCTAATCATTGTCGGAATCTCCTGACGATCTGGTGAAGAGAAGGTAACTCTCGTTTTCCTTCTTCTCACGGACGTCATGAGGAAATGCGTTTACGGGATCATGGAAGGAAAGAGAAGGGATGTGGCTTTCAGAGGCCACCTCTTCTCTCCACATCCGTATCTCCGATCGCCCCCAGATTTGGACAATTGGAAGTTAATCCTGGCTCGACAAGTAGCTGGCTAAGAAGCTAACCACCTTTCTGTCCTGCCAGGGATGCACACAATCGGGGGAGTGGCAAGCTGAGGTCTTTAAATGACTAGTTAATGACCCTGAGACAACAAGGTGCAGGGCTGGATGAACACAGCAGGCCAAGCAGCATCATAGGAGCAGAGAGGCTGACGTTTCGGGCCTAGACCCTTCATCATTGCTAACAAGTTAAAGAAGATGTATCACTGCACCCAGCGTTTAATTGCTGCCTGGGGCTGGGTTTTCTTTCAGTTTATTCGTTGGAGGTGGGTGTCACTGGCTGAGCCAGCATTAAATGCCCAATCCCAATTGCCCGGAGGGTAATTAAAAGTCAACCATGTTTCTGTGGGTTTGGAGTCACGTGTAGACTAGACATGGTAGGGATGACAGATTTTCTTTCCCTAAACATGGGTTTTGTGCCAATAGTTAAATGATTGCTATGATTCCAGATTTTTATTGAATTAATTCAAATTTTGACCATCTGCCATGATGGGATTTGAACCCACATCTTAAGGATATTGAGTTACTAATACAGTGACATTACTACTACACCAACTCTCCCCTATAGAGCACAAAGGAAGTGAGTTTCTCTCCAGGGTCAATTCGTCCAATTATTTCCCCTCTGTGCCACTGCGTGCTCCTGCCCAGGGAGGGGAATGCCATGGCTGGTTACATTGGTTCAGGTACTCATTGCCAAGGCAATTATTTTTTGGTGCTTAATAATGGAATCAGGAATTGACAGGTTATATTTTGAGAGAAGTTGAATTTTTGTGTGGCTTCACCCAATTGTCTGTAATTAAGACTCATAGCACAGAAGAAGCCACTCAGTCTATCATGTCTGTACTGACTCTCTCTGAAGGAAATGCCCAATTTAGTCAGCTCTCTTCAGGTTTTCACTTTAGCCTTTCCAGTGTTTTAGATCTCATCAAAATTCTGTGTCAAAAGAATTACATGCATTTCTTCTCTTCTCCTTGTTCCCTGTCACTCTGTAAAGATATTTATGGACCAATTCTCTTTTGAACATGTACTTTGAATGTGCTTCCACTGCCCTTTCAAAGAGATTTTGGTTGCAGAATTGGGCTCCCTGACCCCTGTGGTTTTGGCACACATGCACAGATCGGTCACGATCCAGACCAAACTCCAACTCTGTGAGGGCCTTGTCACATATCAGTGTGCACCAGAACAGTACAGGGTTGATGCATCATGGTGTCAAGTCAATGTGTGCTATGACAATAAGATGTAGGAGGAGATATAGGTAACATCAGAAGTAATAATGCTGGTGTGTACAACAGAAGGCAAATTTGGCAAGAAACTGGACCCATTAAAAGGAATCCCCAACCTGTTTGTAGCTGATTAATCTCACTCTGGCTCTGTTTGAGTTTGACTTTCTCTGTTTGAGAAGTGCTGAGTTGTTTTAAAATTGGCGATGTCTTTATGATGATGAGAATAAGATGGTAACGTAACAATGATATTGGCAGTCACTTGCTACACACTGAAGAAAGGATGGAATAATCTGTGCGTTTAAAAGATTGTATTCACCAAGAACAGTATTAAGTACAATAATGTAAGTTAGAGTTTGCAGAACTTTATAGAGCCATGGCTGCCATATTACCAACCTCTCTGGGTTGCCATTGAAAGGGAGATGGAGCAAAAGTGGCAAAGAAGGGGAGGTGTTGCTCACAGGGGGAGATGGAGGAAGGTCCTCAAAGTGTGGAGTTGAGAATTATCAGATCAGTGGTGATTTCATTGGATGATGAAGCAGGCTCAATGGGCTGATCACAAAATCTAATTATAACCTAAAATTTGATAAGCAAATATCAGTTTGCAAACCACCCTGATCAAACAACAATTAAACAGGAAATGCTGTGTTCACTCACAGTATTAGATTTTCCAGTCCTTCAGGAATTAACCACATCTCTAAGGTTTTGGAGTAGATCTGTAGCTCGGGTTGTGGGTGTTGAGGTTGGTTGGCTCGCTGAGCTGGTTTGTTTTGCAGACGTTTCGTTATGATGCTTGGTAACATCCTCACTGCAGCCTCTGATGAAGCGTCGGTGTGTTTTCCCGCCTGGTCTTTAAACTCTGGGGTCCATTCAGATGATTGCCTCACTTCCGGGTTTCCTTCGTAGTGGAATGTATATGGGGTCGAGTTCAATGTGTTTATTGATAGCATGCTTCGTGGAGTGCCATGCTTCCAGGAATTCTCGTGCTTGTCTCTGCCTAGCCTGTCCCAGGATCTTGGTGTTGTCCCTTTCGAAGTATGGTTCTCCTTGTCCATGTGGATTGAGATGAGTGAGTATTGGTCGTGTCTTTTTGTAGCCAGTTGGAGTTCATGTACTCTTGTTGTTAGTTTCCTTCCTGTTTGTCCGATGTAGTGTTTCTCGCAGTCTCTGCAGGGGATCTTGTAGATGACATTGGTCCTGTCCATGGCGGGGAGTGGGTCTTTAGTTCGG